CTTGCACAATTCCTGGCACATACACCCAATTAAATGTATTGAAAATATTTCAAGGGGTGTACCTTATAAAAATTATAGTGCACTGATATAATTCAAGGAGTGTTTGGTTGTAGGATTTGAAGTGTATTAATGAGTCACCTTTAGTGAGTATGTCTCAAGCGGGAATGGATACTGTGCCCTGCGTTAATATTGAAGCATCAGAGAATAAAGCTAATGAATATTCAAGAATACTTATTCAAGCTTAATAATTTGCAGTTGGTTTCACAGATAACACCAGAACTGCTAGATGGTACAGCATTGCTTGGGTCTCCTTTTCATCTCTGCAATAGGTATTAGGATAAAGAGTGTGGGTAGAAATCCTGGAAGATATAAATGAAGGTTAAGCCTCATTTATTGAGCTTCTGATTTGCCACTGCCCTAGTTCTGATCACAATATGTATTTGAAATTCTACCGTGAATCTTTTAAGATCCTGATGCCCATCCTCTTTCAAAAACTTTATGAGCTATTTTCAAAAGAGAATAAATATTTTCTGTCTTTACCTTCAAACATTTACTGAGTGCCTACTCTGTAAAAGTCTTTGTGGGGAATAAAGGGAATATCAAACATCGTGTGTTTTTAAAGCTTTTCATCTTTCCTAGGTTTTATATACCTTTTACCAATGGTAAAAAGCAATCCACTTTTCTTGAAAGATTCTTTGTATTTTAAATACTGTAGAGTAGGCTGACCTTTATAAATAGATAGTAACACAGGCACACTGTTGCTGAGTCTCTGTGGGGGAGGGGACGGAGAAGCCTTCAGGCTGCTCCAACAAAGTCAATGGTTTCAACAACGTCTGAAAACACTGCCCATTCATCATGTTCATCTCTGATCTAGGGACTGAACATTAAAAGACAAATAAATCATGATTCTGTACGGTTCACAATCCTCACATGGGTATGAGACTCCATTTTTAGTCAGTTACACCTTACGCAAAGGTCTCCATTTAAGGCTATTTTCTAAAAGTCAAAAGAGAGTTGTAGCAGCAGGACTAAGCTATAAATCAGGAGATAATTCTAATTATAGTGTTCTACCTAAATGTATGGCATTAAGATATGCCTTTAGAGAATTTTCTTATAAAACACTAAAATTAGATCAAAACATTCACATGCAGTGTCTTCTGATCGCACTTAATACAATATGAGGGCAGTCAGTACCAGTGGTAGTATAAAATGACATATAAATGGAGAAGGTATAAAATAAAAGTAGATATCGTTTTTCCTTGAACTTCAGCTCTTTGCAAATTCGTATGTAAATTAGCTCTTGAATAATTTTGGTGTAGGAAGGCAACACATTTGTATTGAGAGCTTACTATCTGTGTACAAAGCACAAAGCAGAGAAAAATTGGCATGAGCTTTACCTCCAAGGAACCAAGCCGGAGGTAAGGCATCTGTAAATATCTATGATAAAAGGTAGGAAGTGATAAGTGCCACATAAGAAATACAAGAAAAATATGGGCAGTTCAGAGGGACAGAGTGTTTCTGGCTGCTGACATTTAGGTAGTGGAAGTAAAGGGCTCCTGTGCAACTGCTGGGAGTAAGATTATTCCAAGAACAATGTGACCAGGGTACAGAGATGAGGCTGGCTGTCCAGTGAACACTGCTGTGCAATTAAACGGGGTGAGGGGCGGAGAAGGGGAAGGGTTCAGTTAGGAGAAAGGTGTCATTTCCAGTGAAGGTTGGAGCAAACCAATAGAGGATCGTACTAAGGAAAACGGACTTGATGTTGAGTCAGACTTCCAGCCAAGATGACATTTTCATTGGGACTTTTTTGATACTCCTCTCTTCTCATTCTGCTTCATAAAGAAAAATAAGAGACATAATGTAAATGAGAAAATTCAAATGTTACAGCTGTGATACAAAGAAGATCATAAACATTTCCATGTATCAGAAACAGAACCAAAATTCAAAATGGTGATCAGAACAAAGCTACATGGGTCCTGGACTCTGTATGTGGAAGCAGGAAGACACTGACCAGGAGTTAGCTCTTACAGAACAGTAAGAGACTAACAGCTCTCCACGTGTGGCTAGAGATAGGAACCAACCTTGTGGGAGACTATTATGTGGTGGCCTTCAATAAACCACTTTTCCTATATTCACATCCTTGTCCAAGCCCCTCTCACATCGACTCTAGGCCTGTTCATGGGACTTGCTTGGCCAATGAGACATCAGTAAATGAAATATAGCAGAAGCTCAGTAAGTGCTTATGCCCTGGGGCATGTCCTAGTGGAAGATTTCTTCTTTCTTTTTCTTTTTAAAATACATTTTTAATCAATCTTTTTTGGGGGGAGGGGTAATTAGGTTATTTATTTATTTATTTATTTTTAATGGAGGTACTGGGGACTGAACCCAGGACCTCATGCATTCTAAGCACGTGCTCTGCCACCAAGCTATACCCTCCCCACCAGAAGCTCTCCTCTTGAAAGCTGATGGCTATGGCGTGAAGAAGCTCAGGCAAGAAGATATTGAATGATGAAAAGCCACCTGGAGAGAGACCCTGGAGAATGAGAGTTGGTCTTGTGCATTCCAGTGGCAGATGAGTTCCCATTCACTGGTCATCAAATCAACACAGTACTTCAATACTAATGAACTAATTATTTATAAGGCATCTACTATTTGCAAGACATTGTTCCCATACTGAGGATTATGAGTAAATTAGACAAAGTCCAGTTCTGGGTGAGCAAATGACCAAATCCATTAAGCTCACAATTTTCACCTATTTCTTTCCTTAAAAATCCCTAAAATGGATTCTTTGTGTCATCTCCTTTATCAACTATCTCAGACAGTATTTTAATCTCACCCAACACTGACCATTATGCCATTGAATCTATTTTTATCTCTACAGGGCCTCCCACCACCCTGCTGTAGTCACAGATTTATGATCGGTGCTGTCCTATTAATACATTTTCTGGCCTCGTGGCTTAGATAATCAGGGACAACATGCATCACTGGTGCTTATCGTGTTTGCTTTAAGCTCTTGGGGCTTTCTCACCTATTTTTATTTTGCAACACAATTTGTGGGTTGAAAACTTTCAGCCCACCTTCCAAAGCTATTAGTATGATAAATATTCCCATACTATGCCCAGTGAACTCAAAGGCAAGAAGCCAGTTACCCCACCTCCACCCTGAGGACCGGACCCATCCCAGCACAGACACAACCTCAGGGATCCAAAGGCAAATCTCTTGGTGGTTACTGAGGGTTGGGGAGGAAGCAGGGGGAGGGGTTTCAGAAGAGGAAAGCCAGATCTCCTATTGTTTTGTCCGGAAGTCACTCTTATATCTCCATCTAAATGGCAATTAGGAAGCCCAAGCCACTAACCAAAATACAGTTTGAGTGGGTTTTAGGGCAGATCCAGGAATCCAGTAGAAGCCAAGAATTCTGCTCACAGTCGCACTTCTCTTTTAATCCCTTTCATGTGTGAAGTACATTGTATTTTTCACATTGTTTTCATTGATGGTGTGAAATGAGCAACTCCGACACAAGGAGATGGATGATAACTTCCATTTAGCAGGAGAGGAAGCTGAGGCCCCATGAGGTTGCTCAGCCTCATAATGCGATGAAGTGGCAGAAGCTGTCCTTCAGCGCAGGTCTTTTCTCCTTGTCCGAGACACAGCCTCTCTTTGCACTAGTCAAGGATGGACAAAGTGACTCCTAAACTGTGCGGTGGCCCTTGAACCGTCTGCTACCGCAGCTTTCAAGGGAACTTAACCAAATACTATTGAGGAGAGAGTGGTAGAAACTGAATGAAGGGACAAAGCAGAACGTGAAATGCTAATATAGTTAAGAAACTGCGTTACCTGTGAATCCTTTCAGAAGCCTGAGAATCAAACAGTAACACTGGACAGAAGAAGGCCCGTTGACATAAAGGTCATAAGTGAGGACAAGAGGAACAGTGGCAGGGGAGGAGAGACTGGGCCAATGCCAGGAGATGAGGAGGATGGTGATGGCAGCACTGTGGGGATGGGTCCCAGGCCAGGTCAAGGTGGCCCGTGTCCCCAGGGCAGGGAGCCCCAGGCCTCAGAGAACTTGAGTGAAGGAGGGGAGAATTCAGGAAGTGCTTAGGAACCTGAGAGAGGATGGGCAGGGATTGGGGCCAGAAGCCAATATTTCTCCCATGTGGCTTTGGAAGAAACAAAACTCTTTTCTGGTCTATTTGTTTATCATTATCTTTCTCCGTAGTACTACATTGCTCGACAGGGTCTGGTCTAAGAAGCTTGGGTGACACAAGTTTGATCAGGACACAGCTGCCAATCATAAGGAGGTCAGAGCATAGTGGGGAGATAACATGAACACAACTATTTACACAGGTGGGTGATAAATACTGTGACAGAGTGTGTTTATCGCTCTGTCGTCTATTCAAGATGCCTGGGGAGGGCATCAATTGTTATTTGCTGAATAACTTAGTTCTGCTAGTGCTGCTGAATTCCCCGTTATACCAAACTCAGTTAAGTCTACACCATCAGCAAGTTATTTGTGGGAGCATTTTGGAGAAAAAGGAAAGGAGGAAGGCTTGGGCTCCCTTTCTGGGCAGTTGTAGAGCAGAGAGAAGCGGCATGTGGCCCCGAGAATTGAGATGTGGATGACACCGCTGGTTGAGTAAGTGCAGAAACATGGAGCTGCAGGTGGCCAGAGGAAACATACCGCCAAAGATGTCCAAGGCACCAGTGGGCTCTCCTCCATCATGGGATGGGGGTCCAGTCAAGTTCAGTTGAAGGTCAAGTCAAGGTAAATTGAATCTCAAAGGAAAGACTGATGTCCAGCTGATTTTTGGGTCACGTTTATTTAACCTCGTTTAGAATCTTAAACCTTCTGAGAGCTACTCCTTCAGGTTCTCAAAATTGGCATCTAATTTCATTGTGTTCATGTCGCTCCCACGCCTCCCACTTCTGAATTCCTTTCTCTTTTAAAAACATCTTTTCTTTAGCATAAAATTCAGAGTGGTAGCATAGTAAATAACACAAAATTCTCCGGCTTGAATAATGTGTTTATTTTTTTTAAATACACTTAAATATGAAACAACAGACAGTAGTTTGGTAAACGTAGAACTACAAGCTGGACAGTCATCAGATAATCAGTGCTGATCATACAAATCAAAATCTGCATAAGAAAGAAATCAGAATAACTCACAAGAGAGTTGCAATTAGCAAAGGACTCGGAGACTATGCAAATGGCCTCATCTGCTCTGAGTAACTAATCACATGGCGCCTGTCATTCCATGATGATCAAACCTTTTTCATTCACCCAAAAAAGGAGGATGGGGAATGCAGATTCCTTCCTCTCCATTCCTTGGTGTGCAGAGCATCTTTAGTTAGAAGACATCTGTCAGTGAGCCAGGGAATCCTCAGCTGGTGTTTAATGGAGGGTCGGTCTGAATTCACTGTGGTACTGTGTAAAATGGATTTTTTCCCTAACACCTGGAACAGTGACAGCAACTTGGCAAAGTAGCATGCTGTTTAAAATGACAGGGATGGGGAATTGGGGATCGAAGCTGAATCAAGGATTTTCTCGACTGTGGGGCCCATGGGTGGCCCTTTTCTCCTTTGGAAAGCGGCAGTGCTTTGGACAGGCTGGTTTTCCATTTGGACAGGTTCTAGTGTGAAAGGGGCACCTGTCCTCACAGCTGTTACAAAAGAAAACAAACATGAGAATTCAGAATCAAGGACTAAATACAAAATTAAAACTCTCTTCTGACTCGATTACGTTTTCCAAGTAAATTTTCCACATATGTAATTAAAATGTCAATATAAAATCCTGAATGGTTATCCCACAAGGTTTCAAAATTTATGAAAGCACAACCGCTAACTTCTAAGTGTTCTATTTATCAGTAAATTTCTTGCTATATAAATCCAGTGGCATCCCCTTCCTTTGAAGAAAAAACAAACTTATGTGGACATATATTGAGAAAGAGACTGAATAAAGAGTCTGCTGATCTGAAACCACCCCCAAAATAGTTGTTTAAATTTCATCAATTTTAATTTTAGCTTAAGATCCATAAGCCTACAGCAGCAGGCAGGATTTTCATGATTTCACAATTATTCATCACTCTACATACTCTCGCTTATTCCTGAGTTGCCAAACCTCTGTTTTACTATCAAAAAGGGGGCTTGGCACTGAATAATGAAATTGGCTTAATCAGGAATCTCACTGAATGTAAATGGCATTTATGCTAAATGTCAATGACTCAAGTTAAGACGAGAGTGCAAAAGCCATTCACCTGCAGGTGTCTGGGTGAAATGTCTTGTGCTTTTGGCAGCAGCTCTCCAGACTCTCTCTGCACTCAATGCAACTGCAGTTTTCTGGGTGCTGGACGAGATCTCTGGGACACGGTGTTTTGCAGACACACTCACAACGATCTTCATCAAACTTCATGTGCGGCCCACAGAGAGCCAGTTCCTGGAGAGGAGCATGTTCTGAACAGAAACAGGAAAGTGTTAGTCGAATAGCTGTACTGTGGAGAACATGATCACTCAAGTCGGTTGTATACTTTTCATCATTCTAAAATAACTTGGATTTACCCAGTCTTCTTTGGTGTGGATCTTTTCCCCTTATGTTTTCACAGGGTGAAGGAGAGTTACCTCTGATTTCACAATACTAACACAGAATTCATGTGTTCACTTAAGTCTGTGCTACAAATGCTGTAAGGGAATATTTTTGATATGATATAGTTTTTAGAGATTTTTAGGTTGGTGACTTGTTAAAAAAAGCAAACTTTCACAACCAAGTACTAGTCATAAAATATAGGATGTCTAAGGATTATGAGTCTAGTCCTTCCCAGGTTTTAGAAGAAGATTAAAAGGAGAGAAGAAGAGAAATATTGGCATTGTAGAAATACACCTCAGACCTTCCAGACTATGGGTAGAAACAGTGATGTATTTCCTTAACAGAGATCACAGCACTAATAGAAAAGATACAACAGTGATCATGAACTCTGAGTCCACAGACATCTATTGGAAGATACGATTAGCTGAGAGGAGGGTCTGAGAAATTTTTGACACACTTAGCTGACAGATGCTTCTTCTAGAACGTACAAAATAATTGGATAACTACTATTCCATGTCTAATTCTGATCGTCAGGTTGAAATTCATCTCAAAAAAAAAAAAAAAGAAGAGGCAGAAACTTTGGAAGAACTTGACATGCCACCTCAGCATTCTTGAAAGGTTTGGAGGAAAGTTAAGCGGTGAGTGTCTTCCTCACACCCGCTGCTCTCTCAGTCTGCCTCACTTAGGGAACGGCGCCACCACTCCTGACCACCTGCCATACTGAGTCTAATTACCATGGCCACCCAGTTCTGCCTCCCTGCATTTGTTATTTTTCATCATCGCTGCCACTGCCTCAATTCAGTTGGTGCCTTGTGTTTTTGTGTAGATGGCTGTCACTCACTCCAGCACAATTTCAATCAATCTATTCTCCACAATATCAAATGCAAATTTAATCATGTCACTTTAATGCTTAATTATCTTAAAAGGTTCCCCTCTTTCACAATAAAAGCCAATTTCCCCACCAGGACATAAGAGACCCTCCATGAACTGGACCCTACTAACCTCCCAGACTCATCCTCCGTCTGTCTGTATGTCTCTCTCACGTACCCTATACTCCATACATACCAAATTATAGTACTCTTTGTTCCCGTGATATGTCAGAGTCTCTCAACGCCATGCCTTTGGCCTTGTCCTTCCCTTTGCTAGTCATCCTTTCCAACTGATATCTTTCCCAACTTCATGTTTAAGTAAGTGCCCTCACTCTGGGTATTTCCATCCTGTCCTTCCTTGCACTGCTTACATTTGTGTCTACTTCTATGTTTCCTTCATTAATTAAAAACTCCTGAAGGTTATAGGGATCAGGTCTCATCGTCCTACCATAAAACAGGCACTTGATAAACATTTGTCTAGTTTATTTGTTGTAATAAACTGGTCCTGAAGAAGGCCGATATCTGGAGACTCTGAAGAATCCCATCCGAGACACTGGGTTAAAACATATGGCTTGCCAATGTCTGGCTATCTCATGTTGTCCAATCTCATGATCTTAACTGCGCTGTGGTTGATGATCTTTGAGGGACCATGTGGGATGGGTGTTGAAAGGCTAGATCTGGGGATACTTCATCCTGAATTATGTGAAGAGGGAAAAGGTAAGCTTTGTAAGCCATATGTCAGCCAAGAAGATGTCACTTTGGGGCAAGATGAGACTAGACAGAAGCTCTTAGGAGATTTGCATAGATCACTAGGTGGCAGTAGAGGTTCACTTAGAACACTGCAGGGTTGGCCCAACTCCATTCTTGTGGCTGGCCTC